TAGGCTGTTAGCTGTGACATTGCTGTTTTGAGACATTTTATATCCTAGGTTGCATCGCATGGACTCAGCATGGAGCTTGCTCCGCATCCTAGACTACTCAGGTTTTCTTTTCTTTGGTAGAGTTCCGCTTCTTGGCGGAAGCATGTTTGTATCTAGGCGATCCATCACAGGCCGAGGATCGTATAGCGGACCTCGGGTTGGCCTGTGAGACCAGCCCCTTGGCCTGTTCTCACAAGCCTGTGTTGTATTCGGGGTAGGCCAGTCAAGGCCGGTACCTCTGTCGGTACCACCCAGTCCAGTCCAGTCCCGTCAGTCCGCTGGGGTATACCCCAGCCACTGTCTGTTTTCATATTTGCTTCACTTGCACATTTGGAGTACGTGCGTTGGAGTCTTGCGTGGGGAGCTGCGTTGTGCCATCTCGCTCCCTCTTCTTCCTCCATCTCCATCTCTGTCACTAGCGGAGCACCACACCTGGTGGGTCCGCTACAGTTTCTGGCCAAGAATACCGACCATGATGAAGAACTTACAAAACACCAAGCCTACACTACTCAAAACCTACAACAAAGCCAAAATGCAATCATCTGGCAATTGCCTGTCCCTACAGACCGCCCATGGAACGAGGAACAGTTGATGAGAGTGAGACTTAGTACAGTCTATGGGCCTATGGCTGGTGCTGGTAGGGCTCTTGTGTCGGTGGGGCTCTCTACAGGATTGGTTGGGTTGCCTGCCTCCTATGTTCGGTCCAATATCAACAAAAACAAGTAGTAATGACAACATTGTGCACAGTGAACAATCTAACAACAAACAACAGTAACAACAGCTGTGTGCACAAGGACAGGAACAGAAAATAGGTCCACATATGGGACTTGTAGTGAAACGTCTGTACCTAGCACCTGAAGTACCTGGGCGACAAGGCTCGCACAAATATACTTCTATCAGGGCTGAGTGGGGTGTGTGGGACTCAGCTTAGCCCTGGTACCTACAACCACGGTTCGGTCAAGTCACCCCCAAGGCTGGAGGGGGACGATCCTGAGTGGTAGACACTGGGTAGGATAGTGGGAGTAGTAGTGCGCCGGGAGAAATTACGAAAGAGGTAGGTTGGGAGGGAGTCCTAGAGGATTAGGGGGCCTCTACCACATGACTGAGTACCGAAGGTGATTCTCATATGTCAGTAATCCAGCCTCTACAACAACCTGGGCTTTCTGGGGGGGGAAAAAAAAAAAACACATTCTGAAGCAATTGCCCCTCCTGCAGAACCGCCCTGCCACCGGCACGGCAGGGGTCCTTATCCAGACCCCGGGAAACCCACCCACCTGCTCGCGACTCAACCATAAGATAATAACTGTTACAACACTAACAAAGCAAAACACAACGAATAAAAAGAAAAGTTTGAAAAAAACAATCGCAAAATTAATCCCCTAGTACACCAGGGGCCTGGTCCCATTAGCAAAGAGGATTAGATTTAATTCGGGAATTTGGATGTGTTTAGCTCACAAATGCAGAAAAGCTGATCAATCGCAATTTTCCGCACCTTTTCACAAACATGTCCAGATTCAGGACTTAAATCCAATCCTCCTTGCTGATGGGACCAGGCCCCAGGGGCCACTACTCGGCAATTGGAAGACGAGTTCAGTTTTAAGTCTCCCCATCGGTGCACTACCTTAAAGTTTGGGCCTCGCCACACCAGAAGGAATGCATCTGCCGCCGAAAGTGGTAAGATGCATCCATTGTTACTCATAGTGACGGATGCATCTTGCCCTCCTCCGTGGGAAGATGCATTCTTTCGTTTTTGATTTCAGCAATGGTGTTGCCAGACCCCTTCTCAACAAAGAAGTTTGAGGGTGAAAGCCTCACAGGGAAGATTCGCCCTTTTCAATAAAGAAGTTTGAGGGTGACTTCAAATTTCATCTTCACACCTGACAATGAAATGGTTGACCTTTGGAAAGATCCAGAGGGCCTAGTGTCCGGAAAGTTGTCCTGCGCCTGATACCCTGCCTCTACAAGTTTTAAAGCACTAGTACACCACACATCTGCGCGCGGGTGTCAGCACGAAACCCGCACCACTTCAGAGGCCGCCGTTTCTTCTTTTCAACGGCGGCCACCCCGCGCGGCCCCTCTGAGTTTTGCCTATGGTGACAAAAACTTTCTGGCTGGGGCCGTGTACTTAGTGCAGAGTACCTTTGGAGGGAAGATTCGTTTTGTCAAACACTAAGAAAAGGCAGGAAAAGCTGGACCAAATCCTCAGAGCAATCCCACCCACATGGGAAATCGCCCTGAAAAATGGCCCGTCAATCCGCACCCTGGACTGGGTCATACGCTGCGCAAGGAACTCCATACCGATGACTATCTTTAGGGTATGTCAATGTACTGCTCAAGAGGCGCAGGTCCAAGCATATGTGCCAGACATGCCAGGGGCACGATGGGCGCTGCTAAGAAGGGATATCGATCAAGATTGCACACTCCSGGTCGATGAATTGTCCAGGGTAAGGGTGGTGGGTTYTGACGATGAGGGTTACTTTGCCTATGAAATGGCCACACCAGTCTGTGCCCTTCCATTTGACCCCGAGGAATGGGAGTGGAAAGGGAGAATCCCTACACCAATATGGCAATATTCGGTTAGACAAGGCTACAAACAAGCACACACACTGCACACCTCTACACCAGTAGTCCWAAACYGGTGGAAAAGGGATTCACCACTAGATGAAAAGGAACTGCAGCGTATCCATTGGACCACTTATGCACACATTATGCCGACTTCCCACCGAGCGCTGCAATGGCAGATCACACACCGATGCCTTCCGACACCGGCCTGGATAACCTCTAGATCTGACTTGGACCAAGCAGGTACCCTGTCCCCTATCTGCTCCCACCGCGGCCCTAATGCACAACGCATGTGCGCGGACTTGGAGCACTGCCTGTTGGCATGCCCGATGGCATTGCAGTTGTGGCAATGGTGGGATGCATTGTGGCAAGACTTGACTGGGTTGACTTTTGAATGGAATATTGCGCTTATACTTCTAGGCAAATACGCTGATTATTCGACAGCATGGTCGCCTTTTCAAACAAACTTTTTCAAGTACATGCGGCTTGCTATCCTTATGGTGATCTGGAGAATGAGATGCTCAGCTGAAAGGCGAGACGTCGCCTTTGGTTTCCACCAAGCCAAAGCTGACCTGGCAGAGGTTGTCCGGACAAACATGTTGAAAGCTAGCAAAAAACTGGTAGAGAATATGGCAACGACCTCAGACCNTCTCTCTCTCTCTCTCTCTCTCTCTCTCTCTCTCTCTCTCTCTCTCTCTCCATCTTATGTAAGAGCAATCAACTTCCATCAGTGGAACGAAACTCTCACAACATGTCACGAATAGAACTCTGTTGCAACACTTTCCGCCGATAATCCTCAAAAGTTTGAAATCGACTTTGTCGCTACCGATGGTAGTCAAGATGGATGGCAGCATCAACAGACCTCCACGTGTTCTTATCCGTATGCAACTCCTCAGCCGCTTGCGCGATATCTTGCAACCTGTGAGAGCTATCAAGATAGGACAGATGCGCATGCACTTTTTTGGGACCAACGGATGCAAGAGACTCATAGATGACAATATCAAAAGTAGAAGCTGTGACTTCTGGCAAACCTCCTGTACGGACATGCAGTTGTGCAGCTAAGACAGGAGCGGGGACAACACGAGGAGCAAAAGATGGAGTAATCATAGCGGCAGGCGACGATGGGCGTTCCCACATTGGACGACAAAGCATAATCTGCAAGACGTTGACAATTCGCAGGAGACGGTGCCGACAATGACAGTGGATGGATAGTGGCCGAAGGAAGAGCGGAAGAAGCAACACCGACAGAAATTCTTTTGATGAGACTTTGGTGTGGCGAGGCCCTTAGTGCAGAGTACCTTTGGAGGGAAGATTCGTCCTTTTCAATACAGAAGTTTGAGAGTGACTCCAAATTTCGTCTTCACAGTGAACAACGAAATGGTTGACCTTTGGAACTTCAAGACGAGTTTTAAGTCTCCCCATTGGTGCAGAGTACCGTTGGCGGGAA